AAACTCTTTCACTATTGCAATTACATAACTATTACTCACTGAATACCACTGTCTCATCATCGGTCAACAGGAAAATAATATGATTCTGTATCGTCAAAACTGTATCACAAAAAATCATTTAATAGAAACACCTGTAATCACTTTTTAAAATCCATATGGCTGTCAGAATTAAATTGGAATTTTTTAAAAAGATACAAATGCCAAGGTACTGCTTGCTTTTCTCCAAAGCTACAGATATGTTTCTGGTGAGCTGCCACGTTTGAAAACAATTGGACTACATGATGATCTTACACTTTTACCCAGTTTGTTTCACTTTTTCTGTTTCACATTCAGTGCTATTTCATTTATGTTTTCCAACCTCTCCATCTCTCTCTCTCTCTCTCTCGTTTTTCTGATGTTCTTTCTCAAGTCTTTATCAAGCATAGTAAAAAAGCTTTGACATACACATACAACAGATATTGTAGAAAAGTTGGGAATTTGGGCCTAACTAAAAAATTTGACATTTCGATTCCACTCGTTTGACTTAGTATTAATAGAGTGCTAGATTTCTAATTATTTTTTAAAAAATACACATACAACAGGCAACAAAGGCTTACTGTATAGCACAGGGAACTATAGTCAATATCTTATAATAACCTACAGTGGAAAATAATCTCAAAATATATGTGTATATATGTGTAAGTGAATCACCAAGGCATGCAGCTGAAACACTGTAAGTCAACTATACCTCAATAGAACAGATATACAAAGAAAAAGAAATTCTACCGCCATAAAGCGTCTCCCCAGGATTTTCACAACCCAGGAACGCTGACTTTTATGACGGAACGGAAGCCTGCACAGGTGAGCACCTGGGTAAGAAATCACCCAAACAGACGTCACCATACAACTACTGTCTCTCCCATCTGTTCTCCTAAGAGCCCATTTATGTTCCTGAAAGGTATCTTGTTCTCCCACAAGTGACCGTTTTTTTATCCCCAAGCCCTATTAAGACGGTATATAAACCCCAGGTTCTAAATGTCTCCTTGAATCTCCTGTGCGGTGCCTTGTTCTTATGCAGAGAGAAACCTGGGTTTTCTCTGGCTGATGCCTTCTGTCCGTTTAGTTGACACGCCGCAGACGCAGAACCTAACAGCATGCAGGAAAAGGTCCCAGAAGATGCCACCAGGACTTGGTATGACTGCTCACAGAAGAATGATACAGGGCAGGCTGGGAGAAAACAGTTTCAGTGAAAACAAGGAACGCCAGCGCCGTGAGGCTTTTCCTCCGAGTGAGGTTGTAACCAGAGTTTGCCGTTAAATCCCCCTTTTACAGTGCCTTTGCTTTACTGCTTCCTTATTAGTACTCTGCGCCGAGTTCATTCGCTGCTGCGCACAACATCGTAAATTCGCGCTGGCGCCCTGACTCTCTGCGGGGACGTAATAATCGCGCGAAACGCCCTTGAACTCCGAGGCTCGCCACCCCCGCGTGCTGGCGCCTGCACTGCGTCAGAGACAGAGCAGCAAGACGCGACCTAAGAGCTCTGTCGTGTCTCCACGGCCCTCTCTGCACCCGCTTCCAGGATTCAGGTGCTAAGTCACTCGGTCGTGTCCAACTCTCCGACCCCAAGGGCTGTAGCCCGCCAGGCTCCTCTGTCCATGGGCTTTCCCAGGCAAGAATACTGGAGTGGGTGGCCATGCCCTCCTCCCGGGCATCTTCCCGAGCCAGGGACGAAACCTGCACCTCTTGGGTCTCCTGCATTGACGGGCGGATCCCTTAGCACTCAGCCACCTGGGAAGCCCCTGCACTCGGGAGACAAAGTCAAGTACGGAATGACTGGGCCGCGGGGCGGGGCACAGCCGGGAGCCTGTCAACACGGGCCTTCTTACCACAAGAGGCGCGTCCCCAGGGGAAAACCGAGGCGCATCAGCTGTTACTTGCGTAGGAAATGGGGCAAGAGAGGTTTCCCTCCGCAGGACAAACAGCTGCGTGAACAGACGTGCGTGGGGAACAGGGGTAACTGGCGGAGGGACACCGGAAGAGGTGCATTATGTCCCGGCCAGGCGCTCGCTCATCTTCCTCGGACGCATCTGGAGGGAACGCCGTCAGGGCGGGCAACAGGGGCAGTGGAGCTCCCGCCCGGCGCCTCACCAAGGGAGACTCCTGTCCTGCAGGCTGAAGCCCCAACCCCTGCCCCGCGCCCCCGTCCCCGTCCACACTTTCACTGCAACCGTCGTCACGCAAAGCCAGCGACGTGGTCTCCTCCTAAACGCTGCTTGCGCACACACTCGCAAACCCAGAGGCACGGTGTTTCCGTGAACAGGGTGCCCGGCGAAGGAAGGGCTGCCTGGAGGCGGAGGCAGGCAGGCAGCGGCCTCCTCTCTGAACTCCCGCGGCCACACGATTCAGGAGGCGACGGGCCAGCATCTCGTCCTCTCAGCTGCCAGGAAGGACTGGAAGACAGTGCTCCTGCTGGGAGCCGCCCCGGAAGGGACCAGTCTGCCCAGGGAGGGGCGCCTCGCTGCGCCAGGCTGATCAGCAGCAACCTGCAGCGCGTACAGGAGGCGGCCCTTCTAAAGCCGCTGCATCACCTGAAGGCGTCGACGTTAAGTGTGGCGGGTGGTACAGTTCTCAGGGAAAAGAACCCATCTGTGTGGGACCTGTAGCGGGACGCCAAGCCTGCGGACACGCACACGTCCTGACGGAAGCAGCAGAGCCACACGGCCCCCAGCCCCTGCCCCGCCAGCCCTGCGGCTTCAGCTCCGACTCTGAGGCTTAGCGGCTGGGCCGCGTCCACTACTGAGCCGAACTCGCCGTGTATGTGAATCACTGTCCGTCAGTGACACTCAGTGATGCTTTCGGCTGCAATGTAATTAAAAAAAAAATGTTTGGTCTTTGCCCCTGGTATCCGCCAGTCTTCTCTGTCCATGGGATTCTCCAGGCCAGAATACTCAGGTGGGCAGTGGGTAGCCATTCCCTTGTCCAGGGGACTCTTCCCAACCCAGGGATGGAACCGGGTTTCCTGCATTGCAGGCAGCTTCTTTACGTCTGAGCCGCCAGGGAAGCGCTACTTTAACTTTCCCACACAGAGCTCCTAAAACCCTTGGCACGTCCTGGGCAGTGAGCTCACTTTCTGCGTCATTCATAGTAAATCCCCTTTCAAGCACGCCTGAGTATCCCGGGGCCTAGATGGAGTCACGATGCAGGGGGGTGGCGTGGGGGGGCTGTTGATGGGCTCCTGGTTGTGTCCCACCCCAAGCCCTGATTGGAGGGTGCTACTTGTAGCTCACCCCCTCATCTCCAGGGCCAGCAAAAGATGCATTGATTTACCAAGGGCCAGTGAATTGACCGAGGCAGTGGAGGCTCCACAAAGACCCCTGGAAAACAAGGAGGCCCTTGGGGCTGGAGACAGGTGGGGGCTGGAGGCTGGTGCACCCCAGTGGGCTGAGTACTCCATCAGCCCAGCCACCGACCCTTACCCCACACAGCTCTTCCCCTGCAGCGCTCCTGGGCTGTATTTATAAATATGTATTTGGCTGCACTGCCTCTTAGCTGTGCCAGGCAGAAGCTTCGCTCTCTGGCTATGGCATGCAGATTCCTAATGACGGCGATGTGGGACCCAGTTCCCTGATCAGGGATCGAACCCGGGCCCCCTGCTTTGGGAGCCCCGAGTCTTAGCCACTGGGCTGCCAGGGGAGTTTCGATGAGTTGCATTCTTAAGGTAAACCAGTAACGGCAAGCACAGCATCTTCCTGAGTTCTGGGTCATTCTAGTGAATTACAACTGACGAGGTAGGGGGCTCTGTGGGATCCCCAAGCTTGTGGTCGGCCGGGGAGAAGTGTGAGTGGCCGGGATGCCTCCGTTCGTGACTGGCATGTGAAATGGGGTATGTCCGGGGCGGGGGCGGGTGGTGGGTGGGCTGAGCCCAGAACCCGGGGTCTGCACTCACTCCAGGGAGCTCGTGTCATAGGTATATTCACTGAACCATGGGAGACCCAGTGGGGGTCTCAGATCAGGCACAGGCGCGGGGGTGGGGGTGGGGGTGGGGCGGGGGGCAGTGGTTCTGTTTCGATTGCCCTTACAGGTTGGACGCAGCAAGTCAGGTCCTGAACCCCAAAAGCAGGTTGTTCAGGAACACTCCCCCATCTCAGCTGCCTCTGGAGGCCGGTTTTGGAGTAACAGTCCTGAGGCTGTGCTTTCTGTGGCACCAGGCTGGGTCCCATCACCGGCTCGCTCGTTAGTGAGAGGCCACAACAGTGAGGAGACATTCCAGGGAAACGCTCTTCCCTGCACCGGTCCCTCACAAGGCACCCGACCCGGGATCCAGGAACCAGCTGGGAACGCCATCACCCCCACTGGATACACGCCCTGCCTGGCGGGGACGCCCAGGGGTCACTAGGCGCAGCGCCTCTGGAGAAGCCCCCGGATGCTCCGGAATCTGCACCTGCGGACGGCCGAGGCTCCGCCCCGCACCTCGGCAGCCCGGATGCGCCACGAGGCACCACCGCTCGCCGACAGCCTCCCCCAGGCTCAGACACCTCCTCCCCTCCCCACAGGGGACCCTGCCTGATGCAGGGTGGAGCTCCCCCCGCGGCCCCTTCCAGCGGGAGAAACACACAGAAGCCTGGCGACCGCTCAGGGAAAACCAAGGGCCCTCGCGCGCACCATCTCGGCGGTGACAAAGTATCTCGGAGAAGCGCGCAGGCAGAGGGGGCGGCGAGGGTGGCTGAGGACGCTGGAGACCCGCGTCACTGAAGGCCCCTCCCCGCACGAGGCCCGTCGGCCGCGCTTGGTCAGGTCTAGGCGCTCTGGGGCTCACCCGGGCACCCCGGGCGGTTCTGTCTGGTGGGTGTCTTGGGGCAGCCGTGCACACGAAGTGAAGGGCCGTCCCCGGGCACGGCGCTCCCGCTGCCTCAGTGCCCTCACTTCCAGTCTCAAGAGCCGCGCAACAGCCGTCCGCGTGGACACCGAGAGCCCCCCGACCCGCACCGGGTGTCTCCCCCGTTCCCAGCCGCGCCGCGTACCTTGTCGGGGGGAGGAGCCGGAGAAAAGCGGCGCGCACAGGCCAGGAAGATGTCTGGGTCCGGCTTCCCGCTCCGCACCTCCGGGTCATCGCCCAGCACCACGTGGTGGAAGAGGCCGAAGAAGTCCTGGTGGCGGCTGGTCTTCAGCTGGAAGGACGCCGTCCCCGAGCTGGTGGCCACGGCACACGGCACATCGTGCTTCCGCAGGTGGCGGATCAGCTTCTCCACGCCTGGGGCAGGGGGAGGGGGGCACCGTCAGGGATGGGGTGGGCAGGCCTCGGGCAGCCCCTGCCCCCCCCCCCCCAGCCTGCAGCCTTGTCTGATGTCATCGCTGTCCTCCCGGGGCGGGGATGTCACCACGGGGCCGGCTCCACTCAACACCAACATGGGAAAGCAGTTCACGGCTCGGGGATGGCCCTTCCCAGAGGACCAGAGGCGCCTGTGCTGAGACGGCCGGTGCTCTGCTCGCCAGTCCTGACAGAGAGAGGGCCTCCCTGACAGCTCAACGGGTGAAGGATCCACCTGAACACTATCTACATACAATAGCTAGGATGCGGAAGGAGCCTAGATGTCCATCCACAGATGAATGGATAAAGAAGCCGTGGTACATGCACACAGTGGAATATTACTCAGCCATGAAAAGGAACACATTTTAGTCAGTTCTGATGAGGTGGATGAACCTGGAGTCTATTATACAGAGTGAAGTAAGTCAGAAAGAGAAAAAATTATCGTATATTAACACACACATGTGGGACTCTAGAAAGATGGTACTGATGAACCTATTTGCAGGGCAGCAATGCAGACGCAGACACAGAGAAGAGGCTTGTGGACACAGTGGGAGAAGGAGAGGGTGGGAGGAATAGACAGAGTAGCGTGCAAACACAAACATCACCGTATGTAAAACAGACAGCTGGGGGGAATTCGCTGGATGACTCACAGAACTCAACCTGGGGCTCTGTGACACCCTCAGGTGAGGGATGGGGTGGGAGGTGGGAGGGGAGTTCAAGAGGGAGGGGACACACGTACACCGTGACTGATTCATGTTGATGTAAGGCGGGAATAAGAATATTATTGTGAAGGAATTATCCTTCAATTCAAAATAATAAATTTAAAAAAATAACAAGAATCCACCTGCAATGCAGGCGACACAGGAGATGCTGGTTTGATCCCTGGGTTGGGAAGATCCCCTGGAGGAGGAGAATAGCAACCCACTGCGGTACTCTTGCCCGGGAAATTCCATGGACAGAGAAATGGCCTGCTGGGCCACAATCCACGAGGTCTCAAAGCATGCTACACAACTGAGCAACTAAAGCTCTGCTACAATCAGAGCAAAGCCAGGGAGCTGCCGATAAATTTGACAACTCAAATGGACAAGGAGGAAATGGGCAAGTTCTTTCAAAGACAAAGAAGTTCTCTGGAAGAGTTCTTTGACACCTCACTCAGGAACACAGCGACAACGTAACTAGCCCTAGATCCATGGGAAAGAGACTGAATCTGTAGCTGAGAACCGTCCCAGACCTAGCACCGCACGCCCTCACTGGCAAACTTACCAAACATCCCAGGATGAAACAATGCCGATTCTAAGGAAACCTCAGAAAATCACAGGGAACACTTACTTCCCAACTCGTTTTTTTTTTGAGACCAGCATTTTTCTGATACCGAAGCTGAAGAAAGGCATAGAAAAAATTACAGACCCATATGTCTTGTGAACACACACACACCTAATGTCACACTGAAGCCAATTTACAACCACTATGAAAGAATTCTACTTGAAGAGTTGCTATAGGGTTTGAACCTGTTATTCGAAAATATTAAAAAGCCACACTATTTAATTAGCTTGCAACAACTAACGACCAATATGTAGAATTATATTAGCTAAATTTCCATAAGAAACCTTCATGGAACTGGTGAATTAAAAGGATGAAAGAATGCCTATAACAAATATACATCCAATAATCATCTTGACCTGGATGTGGTGATTAAAGCTAAATATCAACATGATTTGCATGTAAAACAAAAGGGTCAAGTTGTACGACCCAATAGGAAACCAACATACTAAAAAATATTGGAGCATTATTTAAATATACGCTTTCCTTGAAAACCTACTTGAAAAAGAACATTTTGCTGCAAGAGTTCTCTGATGCTATTGATTATAAAAATTTAAATATAGTTGATGTCATTTTAGCTCATCCTTCAAATACTTCTAGTTCTGTGAATACTTTGTAATGCACTAACATAACAGTGCAACACTATACCAATATAAATATACACAGGGAAGCCTATATTGGAATATAGAGCCAACATTGTTATCCACAGGGGAATGAATGAAAACGTTTTTGGATGACTGTTAAAACTTTTTATTTTTAAGATTTATTGCTTTTATTGATGCATTTGTTTTTGGCTGCATCAGGTCTTAGTCACGGCATGCAGGATCTCTGTTGCAGTGTGCAGACTTCCTCCATAGCTGCATGGCCCTGGTTGAGCTGGCCCAGGGCACATGGGAGCTTACTTCCCAGACCAGGGAGCAAACTCGTGGCTCCCGTACTGGAAGGATTCCTAACCACTGGAACCCCAGGGGAGTCCGGGAACGACTCTTTTAAAATCAGACGAGCTCCATGAAGATGTCTGAGATGGACACACACACGAGCCCGGAGACAGGGAGGCTGACCACAGCCCGCGGCAAGCCGACCCCGTCTCTGGGGCTCGGTTCTGTCCTGTCATATAGCAACGATTAGGGTTCCTGGTGGTGATGCTGTGAAGGAACACCTGTAAAAGGTCCCACCCGTAAAAGCTCACACGGCAAGGTGAGGCCCCACGAGATAGTAGCAGCCCTGGTCGCCACCGATCCATCAAATTTAGGTTACGGTCACTCATCAGTCACTCAAATCTCCTGACATTAACACACTACTGCCCGATTCCTTCAAAAACTTTTGTGTCCTTTAAATACCGTACGCTGACTTTTTCTCAGTCTCTCTGCGACGTAGAAGACTAGAAACATGACAGGACTTCTGTCCTGCACAGAAGCTCAGTAATTGGGTACATAAATGACACCCAGCCAGCAGACAGCTGGTAGCCTCGAGATGCTCAAGTGGGTTTCACGGCTGGGCACAGATAGATCGCTCTTGGCACAAAGAATGAGCACTCCCAGGAGTGATCTACAGGGAAGGGGAGAAGAAACGCTGAGGATCCGGGATGCTGAGAGGTGTTTCTGTCCGACTTCATCCGAGAGGCCTCAGGCTGGTGAGGAGAGACAGGAAGGCTGCCCAGAAAGTGGGTCTGCACACGCAAGAGCCAGGAAAGTGGTTCTGAACACGGAAGCATGCGGAGGAGGTCGACAGGGGACACGGGTTCTCTCAGCTGCTGCCCCAGAACTCAGGTGCTGGGTGGCTGTATCCAGCAGCCCCCTGGCTAGCTCAGGAGTCCTTTGCGACACTTCACCTGAACCGGGAGACGCGCTGTGGCTGGGAGCAGAGAGGACGTGGCGGGAGGAGACACCGCCCAGGGACGGGCTCGGCACGCATCCCGGGACCCGCGGAGCAGCCGCAGAGTCCAGAGTCCTGCGGGGAGGCGGCGGGGCGAGCGTTCGGTGGACGGAGCCCTGGCGGGGGGGAGGGGGGAGGGCAGACACCACGCCGTCCTGGCACGGGCTTCACCGGCCCGGACCTCCAACCCGAGCACTGCTGGACACGAGGCTCGGTCCCCCCTCCTCACGGCCCGCATGTGGAAGGGAGACCACTTCTCCTGGACGGTGGCCTTGCCACTGCCTGGGAGGTGACTGGCTGTCATGTGGAGGCACAGGTCACAGGGGACGCCTGCAGGCCAGTGGGTCCAGTGGCGGGCCCCTAAAGGGAGGTGAGGCCCTCACCCCTGGGGCTTCTGACCGTGAACTGACCCGGGACAATGAGGCTCTGTGCAGAGGTGAGGTCCTCGTTCCTGATGCTTCTGACTGTGAACTCACCTGGGACGTGGCTCTGAGCAGAGGTGAGGTCCTCACCCCTGATGTTTCTGAACGTGAACTGACCTGGGACAATGAGGGTCTGTGCGGAGGTGAGGTCCTCACCCCTAGGGTTTGTGACCGTGAACTGACCTGGGACAATGAGGGTCTGTGCGGAGGTGAGGTCCTCGTTCCTGATGCTTCTGACTGTGAACTGACCTGGGACGTGGCTCTGAGCAGAGGTGAGGCCCTCACCCCTGATGTTTCTGACCGTGAACTGACCCGGGACAATGAGGGTCTGTGCAGAGGTGAGGTCCTCGTTCCTGATGCTTCTGACTGTGAACTGACCTGGGACGTGGCTCTGAGCAGAGGTGAGGCCCTCACCCCTTATGTTTCTGACCGTGAACTGACCCGGGACAATGAGGGTCTGTGCAGAGGTGAGGTCCTCGTTCCTGATGCTTCTGACTGTGAACTGACCTGGGACGTGGCCCTGAGCAGAGGTGAGGCCCTCACCCCTGGGGCTTCTGACCGTGAACTGACCCGGGACAATGAGGGTCTGTGCAGAGGTGAGGTCCTCGTTCCTGATGCTTCTGACTGTGAACTCACCTGGGACGTGGCTCTGAGCAGAGCTGAGGTCCTCACCCCTGGGGTTTCTGAACGTGAACTGACCCGGGACAATGAGGGTCTGTGCGGAGGTGAGGTCCTCACCCCTGGGGCTTCTCAATTGAGCTGACCTGGGACAATGAGGGTCTGTGCGGAGATGAGGTCCTCACCCGATTCTTCTGAACGTGAACTGACCTGGGACGTGGCTCTGAGCAGAGGTGAGGTCCTCAGCCCTGGGGCTTCTGACCATGAACTGACCTGGGACATAGGTCTGAGCAGAGGTGAGGTCCTCACCCCTAGGGTTTGTGACCGTGAACTGACCTGGGACAATGAGGCTCTGTGCAGAGGTGAGGTCCTCACCCCTGATGCTTCTCACCGTGAACTGACCTGGGAAGTGGGTCTGAGCAGAGGTGAGGTCCTCACCCCTGGGGCTTCTCAATTGAGCTGACCTGGGACAATGAGGGTCTGTGCGGAGGTGAGGTCCTCACCCGATTCTTCTGAACGTGAACTGACCTGGGACAACGAGAGTCTGTGCAGAGATGAGGTCCTCACCCCTGATGCTTCTGACTGTGAACTGACCTGGGACGTGGCTCTGAGCAGAGGTGAGGTCCTCAGCCCTGGGGCTTCTGACCATGAACTGACCTGGGACATAGGTCTGAGCAGAGGTGAGGTCCTCACCCCTAGGGTTTGTGA